GATTGTAAGCCGCCCTGAGTCCCCTCAGGGAAAAGGGCGGCCTATAAATAAACAAATTCAATTCAATTCAAATTCAACTTAATTTCTTCTTCAACTTTTATCTGAAGTTATTTTTTAAAACATTGATGACGTTATTTCTCATGTTTAGCATTACTTTTTAAAATATGATTCTAGTTGTAGCAGAAATCTAATACAAGCCTGCAAATAGCGAACTGGGACTTGCACCCAAAATTAATTGTTTCTCATTTATTTTATAAAACCTTACCTGTAGATGACTGGGCATTCACATCAGCACAATGAACAAGGAGCAGTTTTACAATGTCCACATAGCCTCCACTGGCTGCTGCCATGAGTGGAGTTATATCTCCTTTATTCCCTCTGTCTTCAACGTTTGCATGCATAGCGAGCAACACCTGCACAAATTAAACATGTTAGCCTTAATTTTTTCCTGCTATTCTCAAAGCTTTAGTTATTTTCTAAATGATTCAAAAGAACCAGAAGTTTAACTACAAAAAAAGGTTGTAAGACATCATCTCTGGGCTGGTCATTTGCACAGTAGTCTTTGTCTGCGCAGATAACTTTTCAGGTTACGATTTAGTTATTTATCTACATTACGTATTGCCCATTCAATCCCAAAGGACACTGGACAAAACGAAACAAAAACAAAAACAACGTAAAAATAAGGTCATGAGTAAAATCTCCAAATGGACACCCTCAATCAGCAGGGGCTGAAGACTGAATGAAAAGATCATTTTCTTACCTGAACAGTCATTTTCTGTGAACTGCGGGAGAATCCAAACATGGGTTAACTTTTGCCTATTTGCTCAGAGACTGACTTAGAGAAAGTCTTGACCACACGTCCTCTGCTCGACGGAGCTCAGTTTTTTCAACGAAGGCACAGCCAGTCAATAGAAATGGGACCCTGGACCGGATTGGTCACAAGGGCGGGGTTGGATTCTCTCACAGAACACAGAGAACGACAGCTCAGGTAAGACAACAGTCTTCCCCCTGTGTAGTGCTTGGAGAATCCAAGCATGCGATATAACCAAGTTTAATGTCTCAATGGCGGGAAGTAGATTGGTCCCAGAAGCCGAATGAACTCTCTGTAGCACTCACAGCCCAAAAGATGCCTTGGCTGAGGCGAACACATCCAGCTTGTAATGTTTGATGAAAGGTGATGGGGAGGACCAAGTCGCCGCCCTGCAGATCTCTTCGACTGAAGCTTGCGTAGCCCAAGTGGCCGTCGTGGCAGCACTCCTGGTGGAGTAGACTGTGATAGGCCTAGTCTGGCCTGAATTTCATAGGCCTTGGCTATGCAAGCCTTTAATCACTGGCCCACGGTGGATGGAGTCACTTTCTGTCCCATGGATGCTGGTTGAAAGGAAATGAACAGGAATACCATCTTTCTGAAAGAAGCTGTTCACTTGATGTACCTACGCAGAGCTCTTCTGACAACCAGATGGTGCCATTTCTTCTCTAGAGGATACGCAGGCCATGGACAGAAGTCTGGGAGGATAATCTCCTGGGCCCTTTGAAACCAGGAGTTTACTTTAGGAAGGAAGAGTCTAATCATAGTACAACTCTGTCCGGGTGGAAAATGCAGAGATCCCCATGGACCAATAAAGCAGCCAGCTCCGAGCTCCTCCTGGCTGAGGTAATGGCCACGAGGAAGGCAACCCTGAGAGTCAATAGCCAAAAGCTGATAGTCTGCAACGGCTCAAACGGTATACAGGTGAGGGCTTGCAACACTATGAAGAAGTCCCAAGTGGGGTAGTGATGTACCACAGGCTGCCTCAAGTTGGATGCCCCCTTCAGGAAACTATGTACCCTTGGATGATAAGCAAGGGTATGGCTATCTCCACCTGCCAGAACCGTGGATAAGGCAGCCATCTGCCAGCAGAGTGTTGGGGGACAACCCCTTGTCCGATCCCTTCTGCAAAAAGTCCAGGACTTGCAGAATCAATGCTGCAAGAGCATCGATGTGCCCAATGCGGCACCATCTGCAAAAAGAAGTCCAGGTGGCATTATATATTAGGGTAGTGGAAGGTCTTCTGGCCACCTGGATCATTTGACTGACCTTCCTGGGGAACTTATGCTGCTTTAAGAGTGCCTGATGGTTAACCGGAGCCACTGAGGCTCCGGATGGAGCAGTACCCCGTCGTCTGGAATTCTCCAGTGTCAGGAGACCAAGAGTTCACCAGGTCGGTGTACCAGGGGCATCTGGGCCAGTGGGGAGCGAAGAGAAGAACCTCCACTCTCTCCGAAAGCACCTTCCTGATGACCCTCGGGATGAGGGGAAGGTGTACAGCAGCCCTTGAGACCCTCTGCCCCCGGTACGGGAAACCTAGCAAAAAATCTCAGGAGATGAGTGTTTGTAGGATGAGCGAACAAGTCCAATCAGTTGCCCGAGCCCCCGGGACAATTCCTGGAACAATTCTGGGTGAAGGTGCCACTCTGAATGGTCCGTCAACCTGCTCAACCAATCTGCCTGCACATTTGCGATCCTGGAGTTGTGCTACGCCCTGATGGAAAGGGTGTGAGTTTCTACCCATAGGCCAAGGTTCCCCACTTCAAGCATGAGGAACTTGGGAGTGGGTGCTCCCCTGGCAGTCGATATGGGCTTTCGTGGCCATGTTGTCAATGAGGATTAGGACGTGGCGGCCTGTTACTAGTCCCTGGAAGCACCGAAGCACTAGGTGAGCAGCTTGGAATTCCAACCAGTTTATGTTGTTCAATAGGTCCTTTGAGCTCCAGTGAATTTGAGCCACCTGTGTCTGACTATGGGCACCCACCCAAAGAGACTGGCATTGGATGTTACTGTTATGAGGTCCGGTTCCCTAAACAGGAACCCTTTTTGAAGAGTGGGAAATGTCCACCAGTTCAGAGAGAGGAACACCTTCAGTGGCACACAAACCTTGGTGTTGGAACTGCTGCTGCCCGCCCGCTGGTACAGGAGCAGAAACCATTGCAGAGTCTGCGCATGCAGTTGCACCCAGGGGACGATGTCTATGCAGAAAATAATTTTCCCCAAGAGTTGGGAGTCGCCAAAGATACTGACCGCTGTGACCAAAGCTGTTTCGAAGTCACTTGTATCTACAAAAGGGCCAGTTACCAGACCCTCGAAATGATCGCCTGGTCTGGGGTTGCTGTTGTTGCCTGCCTCTGTCCCTGAACCTGGGTCTCTCCTGTGACCAGTTAGGCCCTTGGGAATAGGATCAGTGATATTGGGGAGCAGTAACGCTAGGGTCTGCCGCCTGAAATGACTGCTAGCAAAAATAAGATTGAGCCCTGCGGTCCGCTCGTCTGTGCATGTATGGTAGCACCTTTCGCTTGTCCCTATTCTCAACCAAGATGGGGTCTAGGATCTCTCCAAATAGATTGCCTCCCTTAAAGGGGACTGAGGATAGGCACCATTTGGAGTGCATGTCAGCCTGCCAGTGGCAGAGCTAAAGGAGACGTCGGGAAGTCATATTGGACGCCATAGCTCTAGATGCGAAATTAGCCGCATCAAGTTGTGTCAGAAGAAAATTCCACAGATGCTACCCTTTTTCCTGGAAAATAAGACCTCTCCGGATAATAAGCCCAATCGGGCTTTTGAGGGCATGTGCTAAAATAAGCCCTCCCCAAAAATAAGCCCTCCCCAAAAATATTGCAACACAGCAGCAGCCATGAGGCGACCACGCTGGCTACCTCCTGCACCTCAAAAAATAATAAGATCTCACTGAAAATAAGGCCAAGCTCTTATTTCGAGGGTCAAAAGTAAAGAAGACCCTGTCTTATTTTTGGGGAAATACGGTACCAATTTGTTTATGTCCTGGTGCAGCTGTATGTCAGGGGAGTTTCTGGCCTGCAATTTGCGAAGCCAGACTAGGAAAATCCTATTGAAGAAGGATGCAGTGGTGCCCGCTCGAATCGCCCAGGTGGCCGCCTGATGCATCTTGCAGAGCGTCAGCTCCACCTTGCAGTCTTCTGCCCTCAAGCCCTCCGATACATCTGAGGGCACAATGGTGGTTGAAGCTAGGGTAGCTACCAAGACATCTACTGTCAGGATCTGCAGGAGGCCCTCCAGGTCCGGAACAGAACCATAGAGTTTCCCGTCATTGTTACTAGGTGGGGGAATGGACCCAGGTTGGCTCCATTGTCACTCAATGACATCCACGAACAGCTTCAGGGATGGTATGACCTCCTGTTCGGGGACTGGTTCGGAAAACAGTCATTCCATTGGATCCAGACCCAAATAAGCCTCAGCTGGGGCATTTGTCCCTCCCATATTCTTGGCCTTGCATAAGAGAGACTTAAACAACACGGGCCGGAAAAATCCAGAGAAAGTGGGTCTGTCCAAAAGCAGACCTTCATCCTCTGAAAATTCCTGTTTACCTAAATCTCCTGCAAGCGAGTCCTCGCTGCACAGGAAAGGCTGTGGAGAAGAAGGGTCCTGCAGAGGAGCTGCAAAGGCCCTGGGGATGGCCTGCGGAAAAAAGGATTGCCCTCTCTGTTGCAATTCTGAATCTACCCCTTGGGATATAGCTGCAGAAATTAAATCACGAATCTTCCAGGGAAGGCTCATACCTTGGCCGTCCACTGAGCAGAGCCCCGCTTAAAGTAGGAATAAACGTGGCCTCTGGAACAGAGCATCTGGCCACCAAGGTAAGTTTCAGGCCTACAGTTGATAAGCAAGATGTTGGGGGGGGGGGTAGGGGCCCCTGTTGAGGCTTTGCAGTTGGGTGTTACCTGATGACCAGGTCTGTGTTACCTCCAGAGCAGGTGGAGAATCAGGCTTCAAGTAAGGAGAGAAAGTTGCCATCACCAATGGGGGTGGGGGTCTGTTGGCCTCTGCCCTCTTGATGGCCTTGGAGAATTGCTTCTCCGGTGTCCTAGGTCTCCTCTCAGCAGCCTTTTGGCGGCAGCAGACACTGATTGGGCCCCTGATTTATTGGCCCTGGATCTGACAGATGCTCCCCTTGTGGTGGATCTGCCTACCCTGGCACCAGGCCCATCCGCAAAAGGCGATCACCTAGGGGAGAGCTCTGTCCCAATACTGGTGCTTGAGAACGAGTGATCTGCCATTCTGCAGCCCTAATGCCTATCATGATCCCCTTGTTAGATTGAAGTAGGTGGAACAGGCCTCTGAGGAGCAGAAGGCCTGCACACTCACTGTGATGATGCTGACTTGAGAGGAAAAAAAGGTGTGAAACTGCCAGGCACATTGAAACTGATCCACATAGTGAAGTGAGGTCCTCAAGAGTAGTTGAAGAACCGCAGGTACTACAGACCGCTATCACTCGCCCAAGGAAAGACGGATGAAGAGACGATGATGACGTTGGAAGAATCAGGCCTCGCTGCGATTGAGTAAAGTTTAAAATGGCGCAAGAGCAGTGAACCGGCTCTCCTGGCGCCAAAAACACAAATCATGTTATCAAAGGCTAGTGATTAGGCAATATCTCCAGGCTGCCTGGGTCCCTGGAAACTTGGAACTGATAAAGGCTTGAAAATGGCAGTTCTAGCCGGCAGACCGGGGAAAACCAGCACACTCATCAGCAGCCAAAAACAGCTCAGGAGAGCCCTGAGCCTGAGATCCTCTCTAATTATGTCTGCTCTCCTGAGATGAATCGCTGCAATTCTGGGAGAATCTAAGCTGATAAGAAACTACTTGCTTAGGCTGAGCTGGATAAAAACTGAACATGTCTCTCTAGGCTAGATGGAGTTGAAAAAACTGAGCTCCGTCAAGCAGAGGAGGCGTGGTCAAGAGTTTTTCTAACTTAGTCTCTGGGCAAACAGGCAAAAGTTAACTGATGCTTGGATTCTCCAAGCAGTGCACAGGAAAATAATGCAGATTTTAACTTATTTTCAGATTGCAAGTACTTCTGGAGAAGGAGTCTTCCACATAGTGGCAGAATCTATCATCTTATCCATGCCCCATGTATCTCAAAAGGAGGACAGACTCTGAATAAGTCTTCTCTAAAATTAGAGTGACAGGCAAGTTCAATTCTGGCAATCATTGTCCAATATATTCCAGAACTGCACTTGTATACAGCTTTAAAAGTAACCACCAGCTCTTTGTATTGGATTCAAAATCCTACTGGCAATCAATGCAGCAACTTTAATATAGATGTTATTCTGCACTCTGGTGGCTGCCCCTTCAGCAATCTAGCTACATTTGCACCAAAAAATCTAGAAAACATGTGGAAAACTCTACTCACTTGTGCCAATTCATAATATCCAGCTGAACAAGCCAAGCAAAGTAAACTCTCTCCTTCTTCTGTATGTTCATTTACACTTCTTCCTTCATCAAGCAATTTACGAACAGCATTTACATCCCCATCAGAACAAGCTTCTGCCAAACTGCGACTAGAAGATATATATTTTAATAAAATTGTATAAAATTAGTCACTGTTAATCTTAATTTAAGAACAACTGATATATTGAAGAAATTGGTTAATGAAACATTTAAAAAAGGCTTAGTAACCTAGCAACTATTAGCTCAGACAATGTCTTCCCATCCAAAATAGAACTGTGCCTCATTTCATACTATTCCAAAAGAAAAATTAAAAAAACAACGAAACATCTAAACTGGGAAAGAATAAGAACTTGCCTTTACTTAGACTATTCATCAATCATATATGTGAGATTTATATGCCTACACATCATTCAGAATACTCTAGTTCAAAGATATTTGAACAGGAAGCTTTATTTCTAACTCATTGTATTAAGTTCATGAAAATAATTTAGTTTTGGGAGTGGGAGGAGCCAACGTCGCAACGATACATTGTGTGGATTCGGCCCGCCGAATCCGTCGATGACACTTTTGCCCCTGGATGGTCCAGCAGGACCTAAACCGTCCCGAAGGGACGGTGACTGGGAAGACAAGACCTTGCTGGTCGCAGGGACATCACAAAGTCCCTGATCGACCCAAGGAGAGTGCTTCCAACCGGCGGCAAACAAGCAGCCCCCCCCCTTGACATAGTTGGAGACGGCTCCAAGAAGAGAGAATGAAAGTGTTTCTACCTGGTGAGGTTTTTTTTCCTTTTCTTTTAGAAGATTGCCCTAAGAAACTCTTTTCTTAATCTTAATTAGTCCATTAAGCAAGAACAAAGCGGCAAACTTAATCCCCATTGGACTACCTTAGAAAGTTTTTTGCTCTTGCAAAAATTGCTCTTACAATCTTTTGTGGATTGAGTGATTGCAACGCTCCCGTTTTTTCCGCTTGAGGTGAAAGGATCTCTTTTTTCCCTATTTTCCTTTACTATTTTAACTTTTTTGGCTTAAATTAAAACTCTTTTTACTTTAATAAATTTCTTCTTCTACTTGTTGCGCTATTATATTGAAGATACTTATGGGAAGAGGTTTTAAAAGTATTGAATCTGCCACTTGGAAGCCCAAATTTGAAGCTTTTTTTCCTTTGCTGCTGTAACAATGTTTTCTTTGTTCACTCTTATCTGACTATACTGACTATGACTGCGCAACAAAAGGGTTTGGAACGTCTCTTTAAAACCTGATAAAGACTCAAGGTCACAAATAGTGGTGTGTGGAAAATATTTTGACAAGAATTGGAAAAGGAAAGAAAAACTTTAGAACCTTTCTTTGAAAACCATAAAAGAACATTCATCTAAAATAAAAATAGATATATTCTTCAAAATCTGTGACAGGCTAGAGTGGCAGATTGTACCAAATTCCTCTTCTTGCTCTTTCTCTATATTATTCCTTATTCTAAAACATGGAGCAATACTCAGATGAATAAAACTTGTTAATTCAAACATGTTGGCTGGACTTCAAAACATCTCAGAAGGATTTGAGAGATTCCACAAGAAATGGGACAGACTATGGGATATTACAAAAAAAGATGATAGGGTTATAGCCCCAGAAATTAAGGAAGTGAATGGAAATACAGAAAACAAAGATAAGAACTTAGATGAACTTATAAATGGAGTAAATGTGAGTAAAAGTGGAAAGAAGGGAAGCTGGAAAAGTGACTTTGATAATTTGGTGCTCCACCCCAAACTTCAAGATGTAGGAGAAAAAGAAAGAGCGAAAAAGATGGAGGTAATAAGACAAATCTATTCAGAAACAAACCTGACAACTAAAGTTAAGCTTACATTAATAACAACTCAAGTGCAACAAAATTACGAGAGATTGTTTAAGCTTCAATGTACGGAGAGAAGTCTTAAACCCTAGAAAGGTTCTGGATATAGAATTGACACAACAACTGGCAAGAGATGAAAGACTATTTTATTACTGGAAAGATACTGGTTAATAATGCCAATTGATGGAAAAAAGCTAGTTAATTTTTGATGATTGTTAAGTAGAGATTATAGTACCTTATAGACTGTTTTAAATTACCACTGAATGTTTATCCATTAACATAAATTTACTATGATACTAATAGAGAAATACTAATCCTAGTTAGGATAATTAACCAGACCATAGAAATGCTAATATACATTCTGGGTGATTGTCAAGTAGAAATGTTAATATTTCTTAGATTGTCTTAGATGTCTAATGTTTATTTTCTTAGCATGTAATTAACTAATTTGGGATTGAGGGAAAAGTCCTATAAATCTTATTAATAAATCATCGTATAAAGACGGTTATAAAGTTATAATATTGTGTGGGCCTGGAGAGGAGAGGTGAGATAATAGTAAATAACCTTTAGTTAACTACAATAATAACAATGAAATGTTAATGGACAATATTTAATGATACATACAGCTGTGTTACGGGGGTGAGGGGGAATGCTCAGATATCTTACTTAACCAAATTAATTTTAGAACATGTCATAAAGGTGTAATGGTATTGGAGATCTATTGAAATTGCAAATGAACGGCAGTAGGTGGTTGTGTCTCGTAATATAAATGATTCTAGATAAAAACATGTTTAAACAATGGTAACCAAATGAGAATTATGGTACAGGGATAGTAAAATATATAATTTTTCTTTCTTGATTTAAAATGTACAACATGATTTGAATGAAGTATATGTAAGGACTGTGGAAGAAACACACAGAATATATTTGTAACCAATCGATATGCTTTCAACAAGATGTAACGAAAGATGATTTTTTTTTCTTATTTTTTTTCTGTTTAACTAAAACAATAAAAAATTTACAAAAAAAATTAATTTACAGTTTTTTTACTTTCAGGGGAAGAAAATATTTTGCAATAGAAGAATAATGCAAATGCACATAAGACAATTTAAAAACAAATCTTACTATAAGCAGGTTAAATAAAATAAAGGATATTGTTCATTAAATCCAAATTTTAAATTTACATGATTTTTTTCTTAAAATATTTTGTATAAAATATACTGTTCTAAAGTACCTACTAATTACATTTTATTATGTTTCCTAAAACGGAGAGACATTGACATATCTGCTAACTTACTCTTTCTAAAAGTGCAAAGTCAATATAAAGAATTTAAACTGAGAGAGCTGATATAAGTAAGGAAGGAAAGGTTTCCCACCCCTTCTCACAGGGTTGTTGTGGGGAAAACAGTAGGAAGGAGGTGTGTTGATATGTTCGCTGCCTTAAATCATTTGTAAAAATAATAAAGGAGGGATACAAATAAATAAATGCAAGGGCTAGGAGAGGGAAATATAAAGTGTAGCTATATCTAAGCAGAACAAAATTGAGCAATAAATTTTTCTCCTGAAATGTATCTTCCTTCCTAAAACTTAATTATGAAAGCAGGAATTAAAATATTCAATTTGGGAATATTTTAATTAATATTTGTATGACTTGGAAGCACACAAAATATATATAACAAAAAAGATTAAGTTTGGGGTTCTTAATGAAGAATAAGAATTTAGAAAGTAAATATCAAATGCACAGGTATAGAAGAATAAAGAACTGACTAAATAACATTACAAAAGCTAATGTAAACAAAAGCATGGAACACTCTGTATTAATGTTAATGTAATTCCAAAATCAAAGGAAATGATTATTTAATTTTAATTCCAGATTGGTCAGACACCATTCTGTGCACTTTATCTAATTCTTTGCAATATTAAGACATATTATATAACAGGTTCAGAGGAAGGTAATAAAGATGATCAGTGGACTAGAAACAAAGTCCTAGGAGAAGAAATAGAATGAATTTGGAATGTATAACTGTTAGAAAAAGGCTGAGAAAATTATTTTTGTTTGTCTTCAAATGATGTCATATGATGATTAACACTATCACTCCAAATTTCAAGATGTGATTTAATGGATTTGAATTATTGAAAGGCAGATTTCAATTAAATGTTTAAAAAGTTTTCTAACAGTAAGAGATGGTCAAAAGTACATGCCGTCCTTGACTTACAAGAGTTCATTAAGTGATGATTTAAAATTACAATGGCACTGAAAAAAGTGAGCTATGACCATTTTCACGCTTATGACTGTTCAGCATCCCCATGGTCATGTGATTTACATTCAAATCCTTGATAACTGATTCACATTTATGATGGTTGCATTGTCCAGGGTCATGTGATCTCATTTTTGAACCTTCTGACAAAGTCAACAGGGAAACCAAATTCACTTAACAACCATCTTACTAATTGAACAACTGCAGTGATTCACTTAACAAACGTGGCAAGGAAAGTCATAAAGGGGGCAAAACTCACTCAACACGTTTTTCACTTCATAAATTTTGAGCTCAATTGTGGTTGTAAGTTGAGGACTGCCTGTATAAGCAATTTCCTAGGGCAGTGTTTTTCAACTTTTTTTGTGCAAAGGCACACTTTTTTCATGAAAAAAATCACGAGGCACACCACCATTAGAAAATGTTAAAAAAATTTAACTCTGTGCCTATATTGACTATATATAAAGTAATTTTCCCACGGCACACCTTACACTATGTCACGGCACACTAGTGTGCCGCGGCACAGTGGTTGAAAAACACTGTGCTAGGGAACTGGAGAGCTTCCCTTTGCTAAATGTGCTCAACCAGAAGCTAAATAGCCACCGGCTATAACCTCACTTTTAGATGAATTTCTCAAATTCTCTTGCTTGAATGAATGAAAGTTATAAGATTATAGCAGCTTAATATAGTTAAAATCAGCAGGTATTTAAACAGTGTATGCAGTCGGTAATAGTAAAAAATATGTTAACTACATTGACTTCTTCTCCTAGGTGGAATTATCTTCAAAATACAAAATACTGTCCGCTTGCATAATTGTACTATTTTACTGCATAATTTCAAGAGTTCTTTAATAACAGTGTTACTATCATATTTTTGCAAAAAGAAAATAAATTGTGTACATTTGTTTTACAATTTACTATACGTCAAAAACACATATGCATTCAAAAAAACCCAAAACATTACACAGAAGAAATAACAACTGAAAGTTAGGATGAAATAAATTAGGTAAGTAAAGATGAGATCTTTTTTCAACAATTGCCACTGTGGCAGTGTGAGAACCTACAACTGTAATTATGAAATAAGCATACAATTCTGGAATAAATTTTCCGCCTAGGCCGAAACTATAAACATGACCCCGAGACCCTTAAGTCAGTTTATAATTCTAGTTGTACTTCTGAAATTCATGTCTAGATATCAGCCTTATTTCTAAGCTGCTGAACTCAAAACCATAATTTACAAGATATTCTAAACTTTGAAGTATTGTATCACAGATGCTACTTTTCCCCGTCAAACACATAAACAAACAAACAAACAAACAAACAAATGTGCATACTTGTCCACTTGTCCTGCATTGTGATTGTTCTCTGCTCTCATCCGTGTCAGTGCAGCAGCAGCTTCATCCAATGCACAGCTGACAGAAGAAGTCAATCTTCGGAGCACCTCGGGATCTGCGAAGGCTTTACCATCGGCAGTGGACAATTTACCAATCCCTTCAGCACACATGTGTTCATCAATCAGATTAGTATGAAAGCCACACAAAAAATGCAGAGACACTATTTTAGACTTCAACCACATGCATTATTAGTTAGCACCAGTAGCAAACATGCCAAAGAACTAAATGTTCAATTCTTTAAATATATTATTTAAAAAACCACCAAAGCTGACTAAAACAATCTTCATTGCATATAATTCTAGCTGCTGCATTTATGGAAAAACAAGACCTGAAGACCCAAAGGTGCTTTTTCAACTGCCTCTTGAAAAAGCACTTTTGGGACCACCATGACGTGGATGACTGAGAATAGCCATAGACATCTAGTCCTAAAGAGTCAAATAAAGAAGGAAAAGGGCTCACTGTCATGGAATATAAGGCTTCAATTATTTTTTTAGCTATTGTTTCCCCAAATTTTCAGGTAGTACAAAGACTGGTGAGGATTCAAATTAAAAGTTGTTTCCATGCACCTATATAAATTAATCCATTTCCTAGAAGTTTAGATCACAATGAGTTGGATGCAGAATTAGCCATACTTACAGTGAATGCTAGAAATTAATGTGATTTTATTACAAAAACCTGAAGATAATTAATTTTGGACCCATTTTTTTTCAGTAAACATGTTAGCTATTTTCCTTTTATCCCTTACCCCTCTTAATTGATACATTTATTTCATTCATACATGTACCACTATTAAACATTTTCCACTGTAGAGAAATACAGATTTTTACATCTTTCTAATGCAAATTTTATTTTATACTTAACAATTACTTCTTTAAGGTTTGTTTAAAAATTAAATGTTTTTAATTTTCCCTTGGTTCCAGTAGATCATCTCACAATAAAAGGAACTTTTCAAGGAAGCTACTACCACAGGAAAATAATTCATTGTGTGACTGAGATGCCTGAACTTATATCTCACCAGACCAATTTTTTATATAAGAATTGTACTAAATTTCAAGTTGGCCTAGAGCAAGAATATTTTAAACATTCAAACAATATATGAAGTATGGTGGCAATTATTTATTTAAATACATAAATCTTGTTAGGATCAAAACTAGAATCTCTCTCTAGCAAATCAAAGTGTATGGTAAGGAATGCATGCATATGACTCATGAAATAAAATGGTTGGAGCCAAAGTTAATATCCTTTTTATTTCACACCTTATTCAGCCAATTGGCAAGCAATGGCAACCTACCCTGAATCCTCCTAATACCCCACATTTCTTTCTAGTCCATACTACTAGCATGCTATCAACTTAGCTATCAAATTTGAAAGAAATTCTAATGTATATAGAAAATATCAAACAGAGAGGTGGGGTGGGCTGAGACACAGTAATTGACTGGCCCAGTCACCCAACCAGCTTTCTTGCTTAAGGTAGGTCTAGAACTCACATTCTTCTGGTTTATAGCCCAGCATGCACCCTAACCACTACACCACACTAGCTTTTAATCTTTCAATAGTGTTCAGTCAGAGCAATATAGAGCTGTGAGATGGCAGCTCTATCAAACATGTGTTTGTATATACCATATTTTTCAGACTATAAGATGCACTAGTGTATAAGATGCACCAAGATTTCAAAGAGGTAAGTAAAAAAAATAAGTTTTTGTCTTCCCTGGCCACCAGGAGCACTCTGCAGGCTTCAGCAGGGCTGGGGGGAGGCAAAAACACCCCCGTTTTTCACCAAAGCTGGGGCATTTTTACCTTCCCACAGCCCTGCTGCAGAATGCTTCTGGGGGAGTGGGGGAAGGCAAAAACATCCCCGTTTTGGTGAAAAATGGCCTATTTTTCACAAAACTGGGATACGGAGCAGGGCTTCGGGAAGCCAAAAATGGATGTATTTGGTGTATAAGACACACCAACATTTCCACACTTGGTTGGGGGACTTTAACCACAATACTGCACACAGGCACTCCAAAACCAATATTCACTGCATTATATCCAAAATGCAACCAGGAACTCAGTTCACTTAAATTTACTGAAAAAACACCCAAGGTACCAGATTTAAATGTTTTGAAAAGTATATTAATATGCAGGCATGCACATGAGAAGGTTTATCCATTCTTACACAGACCCAAGCCTTTTAGAATCTTAAAAATAAGAAGTATCAGTTATAAAATGACACTCCATTTTTGCAGGCATATCTTAAGAGGAGTCACATGTTGAGTAGTTGGTCCATTCAACAAGCAGATTGTGGCATTCTAAACAAGTGAAACTAGAATTGGGTGTGTATGACATTCTTGAAGTTATTGAACTATAATTCTCAGCAGTTTCTATTAGTATGGTTAATTCTGAATAATATTGGGAGGGGAAGTTCAGCAGCATCAGGAGAACCACAAGTTCTCCAACTCTTCATTAGTTTCCAGAAACGTTTCAAAGGTAGCTCACGTAAATAACAGTTCGAAAGTACACTTCTGATATAATTAAAGAATGACAACCATAAATTAAAATGAATACTCTATACCTGTCATGGCAAACCGAGCCATATTTGGTGGCATGCCAGCTGTCAGCTCCAGCATGCTCATTTTCCGCCCTACTGGAGGGCCAGGGGAGGCCATTTTTGCCCTCCCCAGGCTTCAGGAAAATCTCCAGAGGCTGGGGAGGGCAAAAAACAACCCCAACACCCAACCAGAAGTTCGGGAACAATCTGGAGAGCCTCTGGGAGAGGCTGTTTTTGCCCTCCGCAAGCTTCAGAAAAGCCTCCGGAACCTGGAGAGGAGTCATGCGCACATGTGGGGGGGATGTGCAGATGGGCGGGGAGATTGAGTGGGCATGCATGCAATTTTGGCATGACGTAAGAAAAAGGTTCACCATCATTACTCTATACCATGGGTCCCCAACCACAAGTCCATGGACCGGCAGCGGTCCACTGCATACCAGAAACTGGGCCATGCAAACAAATAAAACCCCATCTGCAGGATGCAAGCAGCATGCAAAACCACGCCCCCTCCGGTCCATGGAAAAAGCTGTCTCCACACAACCAGTCCCTGATGTCCAAAAGGTTGGGGGCCACTGCTCTATATGAATAGTTAACATATTAAGAGTAGATGTATTGTATAGGTAATACTCTCTTTCTTAATGACAACTGGAATTTCTATTGCTAATGAATGCTGTCATAAAGTGTGATGTCACGAGATGGAACCACTTAGTAACAATTTTGATGATTCCGTTATCATTATTAAACAAGGAACTCACATAATCACAACTTCTGACTTGATGACTATGTTAATTTTATGTTATATTTCTGTAATAGAATTGTCAGTATTATCACTAAGTGGTGACACCATGCTTTATGATAGCATAAATAAAATAGAATAAAGAGTAAAAGAGTTGGAAAGGGAGCTTGAAGGTCTTCTAATCCAACTCCTTTCTCAAGCAGGACATTCTATACTATTTCAGACAATGGTTGTCCAATCTATTCTTTAAAATCTCCAATAATGGAGGAGGAACTTTGCAATTCTTCCTTTGCAATATGAACAAATCCACTGTGTCCATTTTTCATTATATATTTTATGGATGAAGCTAAGCAACTGTTTCCTTATGTTATTTCTGCCTTTTAATCCTTCCTCTGTTTTCCATATTTCAAATTTCACTTTACTAATGTCCAGTTTGCCAACCAATACTAATATCAAAGATGTATCACTTTTTCCTGCTACAAATCTGAATGGCAATTTTTGCAGCCAGCACTTACCCAATCACAACAAAAACATCAGCAAATGATAGGACAGTAGTGTTTGCTGTGGTTGTATCTGGCAGACAAGCTGTAACTAACAGTTTATAACTAACCTAACAAAATATTATGATCATCTGTCTCTTAATTTTGCTAAGTAGACAGGGTGATAAAACCTACATTTTTAAAGATTTTGAGAAATATTAACAAATTAATAGTCCTTGATTTATGATTTATTTATGACTATAATGAACCTGCCTATTAAGATGTAAATTGTGGTGGTCATTAAGTGAACCATTTCGCTCATCAACTCCTAAACTTTTCTTCTTCTCACTATGTTGAGACATGTGTTTGACTCCCTCTTCCCTGTTTTCAAAGCACTGGAAGGAGAAGAGGAAGGCTTCTTTTGGAGACACATAAACATGTCTCAAACACTGCAAGGAGTAGTTCACCTTCCCCATTCTAACCATATTTGAGTCATGTCTTTGCATTCCCGAAATAAACCTTTCCTGTTCTCTTTCTGCTGCTTTACAGACTTCTGGACTTAAAAAAGGTATTTTCTAATTAAATCTTAGACAGGTTCCCAGACATTTTTAGAATTCAATAGGAGAAGCAGTTATAAGGAGAAGTAGTGAGCTTCCTTCCACTAGATATTTTCAACCAGATGCAGAACAGACACCTATCAGTAATGTTTCCTTGCATTGAGAAAAGAATGCTAATGTTAAATGTCTCTTTTATGGTCGTAGAATTTTCCACTATTTGAAATATGCTATCTACATCTTAATTGAGATAACCATGTCTTCTTTTTAGGAAAATCAATTTAAAAAGTTAGTTTGTTCCTTCTTCTTGCATTCCTTAAAAACACTTCTTTAATAAAATTACTTAATTTCAGAAATTCAATTTCTCTTCCTAGCTTTAATTTCACGTTGTTATACTACTAAGTATTATATTTATTTCCTCAGGTTAAAATAATTAGTTCATCCTAAAAAAAAAAACTACTACCAATTTTAAAAAACGTACCTGCTGCTTCCAATAAAGCTTCTAATCTTGCTTGTGTTTCTGGATCCACCGTACGTAGGTCTGCTCCTTCAGCAGCGCTTGATAAAAATATCTCAGATGTTGTTTTAAGCACTGGGTTATCCAGATCTTCTTGGTCCAAAATAAATGATTCAACCTATTTGAAGAAAAAGAATATAAAAATTGATTCTAACACATAATAAAACTGGGAGATATGTTACTAAAATATCCTCTCTCATCTCTCATAAGAATTTTATTTTTCCAGAAAGAAAAATACAGAAGCATGAAATTTCGGATAGAATACAGGTAATCCTCAATTTATGATCACAATTGAGACCAAACTTTGTTACTAATGAGATAGTTGTTAACTGAATCACTACAGTTATTAAGTTAGTAACATGGTTGTTAAGTCAATCTGGCTTCCCCATTGACTTTGCTCATCAGAAGGTTGCAAAAGGTGATCACATAACCCTAGGGCACTGCAACTGTCATAAATGTGAGTAATTTGCCAAATGTCTGAATTTTGATCACGTGAACATGGGGATGCTGCAACAATCATAAGTCACTTTTTTCAGTTTGTTGTAACTTTGAACAGTCACTAAATGGACTACCTGTAGTATTGCTTTAAGTACTTGTGGCGCACAATTTTTTTAAAAAAAATACAGATAAAACATAAGCTTTCTGTTCTTCCTGAATTAACCAACTCTGATTCACTATAAAACAACAGCAACTTTTTTAGACTGAGTGGGTGCAGAATATTAAAAAGTTAAAATGTTAACAATAGTCAACATATTGTTGTTGCTGAAGGTCAACCAGTCCAGAAACTTTAATAGCACTGCTTTTGTAAGGCAAGGCCCATATTTTTATGTATTTTGCTGATAATGTTCTTCTAATGCATATGAATGGCTTGTCCAAAACACATTTTAGTGGATCCGATGTATTATTTATTTGATTACACAGGAGAGCTGAAAGAAACAGTATTTGCTCCTGATCCTCCAAATTATGATTAACATCAGCAGTATTATTCTTTGACCTGTTGGAGGAAAATAATGTATCTAAACTGTGCTTGGTCTTCTAAAGTGAAAAATTCAAAAGTGATTTTTAACATGAAAAATTAGTATATGGAGAACTGGTCTTTCATTAGAAAAATGAAAAAAAAAATCACATAAAATATGCAATTCTACTGCCAAACAATTCCTAAATTCATTAGCATTAACAGTTTTTTCAGTTGTTTAAGTCACCTAGTAATATTTTTACTTTATAAATTTAAATCCTGAATTTTCATATTGCCTATCAATATACCAACTCTTTACAGGTAGTCTTTAACTTACAACCACCCTAGAGGGGCATTTCGGCTCCCCCTACCTGCCTACCTCCTATCCATCTGCCTTTCAGCATCTTCTTGCTCTCGCAGCTGACCAGGGATGCCCAGCCTGATTGCTGGGTCAACCTTGGTTGAGCTTTGGCTGAGGAACAAAAAAGCAGTCCTTCTGCATAGACCTTCTCGGCAGGGCTAAGCTTTGGGCTCAAAAAGAAAAAAGAAACCTTGCTCAGCCCCATCTTTGCTCTTTGCGAAAGGACTGCTTTGAGGTTTGTTCTTGGAACCTGAAGGTCTTTGCAAAGGAGCTGCTTTTTTTCTCAGCCAAAATCAAGCCCGGTCCGGGCACAGCAGCAAGTCCACCATGGTCAGTAGCAGATGAAAGAAGATGCCAAAGGTCAACCGAGGATGGCTGGGGGCTTTGAGTGCAGGGTTGCAAGGGCAATTGCTGCTGGGATTGGGCTACAGCTGCATGTCACCCTGCCTTGCAGGGAACAAAGGGCAGAGATGGGTAGGTGAGTTGGAAAACCCCCTTACCATACTGAGGCTCAGGGCTGGAAGGGGCCAAGCCCCAGATGGCTTAGACGAGTGGCTCTCAGTTAATGACAAAAAACTGGGATTGTCATCACTAAGTGATGCGTCCATGTGGCATTTCACTTTATGACTGCATCATGTCATGACAGAAATTCTAGTCCCAAATGTGATAGTAAACTGAGGATTACTTGTGCTACTTAAAACAGCAAGACAGATAGTCCTCGACTTATAACAGTTTGTTTAGTGACCATTCAAAGTTATAACACACTGAAAAATATGACTTATGACCATCCTTCACAATTATGACCTTTGTACCATCCCTGTGATCAACATTCAGACACTTGGTTTGTATTTATGACTGTTGCTGTGTTCCAAGAGAATATGATATCCTTTTGCAACCTTCTGAGAAGCAAAGTCAATAGGGAAGTAGATTCACTTAACCACCTGGTTACTAACTTATCAATTGCAGTGATTCACTTTAACTATGGCAAAAAAGGTTGTAAAGTGGGGCAAACTCACTTAACTAATGTCTCACTTAACAACAGAAATTTTGGGCTCAATTATGTCAAGTCGAGGACTATCTGTATAAAAATACAAATGCATAAGTAATACTCTGGTCCCTTCAATGCTCTCAAATTATATATTTGAAACAGATTTGTTTCCAAGGAGCAATAATGGTACAATTTCAGCTACTCAGAAAAAGTACAAAAATAAAGATTTCTTGAAATGTTTATGACATTTCTCCTAGCCAAAAAAATAAATTAATTCTTTTATCAAATTTGTTCAATCTAATAATTCAACTGAGCAATCTCAAAATACAATGAACCAAATATGATGAATAAAAAGTAGTAAGTTTTTAAATTCACTTTTTACTAGACATCAGAAACATCAAAGACTCTTTAAAAAAGGGTGGGGGATACATTGGCAACATATACCATTTTGAGACCTGTGAAGTTCATAAATGCAGACATTAGTTACTAAATTACTTTTTTTAATCAATGTAGTTACTGTGCAGTCTGATTAGGACAAGACTTTAAGTAGGCCACGTCTCAGCTATCTGATAGAAGGGAAGAAACATTTTCAACAAGCTCATCCTTGCTACCTAATCTTGTAAGGCTTTATGAGTAATGACCAGTACTTTGAATTGGAATCACTGACTCCAGTAATCACAAAATAGCAATTATTCTGTAATGGAGGGGTTCATCCATTCGGAGCTTGCCTGTTCCATTCAATAGCAATTGTAACTTTTCAGCATCATCAAAGGAGTTACCATGCAGAACAAGCTATAACAATCCAGCTACATACAGATCTCCAGCATCTCCCAGTTCTAGAAGTGTTATAATTCTCACACCAGCTGAAGTTAGGCAAAGGATGCCTACAAAAGGAGGCAGTTGTATTGGACAACCAGGCTTGTACGATGGTTATAATAATCAATTTCAATAAATGTACTTTCAAAGGTGGAGTTGAACTTTAATCTGTCTCATTTAGTGGGCTGACATCAATATAGTTCAATGAATTAGGGCAGCATCTGTCTGAGTCTCTTCCGTATGTTATCTGACTACTCTGGGCTTAGAGAGTGCTCTAGCTCTTTGTTCCTAGGCAGCATCTCCTGAATATTTCCATCAAGGTCATCTTCTTTACTTCGTACATCTGAGGATGCCTAACAGGGATTTCCTGTCTCAGTGATTTAATGCATGGGAGGTAGGAAACACAGGTTCAATTGCTTTTCCTCCATTACTATCTGAAAGTTGGCCAAAGATAAAAGTGAAACTGACAGAAGGACATATAGGCTGAAACAGAATTGAATAATCTAGTCAGACCATACTCCATCCATTTAGATGATCAATTTCCTCTAATGATTATTTGTAGTTGATGTTATAGTCCAACTGTAGATTTTTCCTGAAGTATGGAAATACAGACTTTCCAGACCCTAAGAAGGGGAGGAAGAAAGCTTGAGGGATAAGATGCTATAAGAATTAAACCAGTCATGAGACTGCTATGAAAAACAGCCAGGTGCAAATTTAATACTCATTCCTTGCTGGAACAAAGGAAGGCTGTTTTTTAAAAAAAAAATATCAAATTTTTCTGCCCAAATGTGGAGATATACTAGCTTTAAATGAGAAATTGTTCATTTAATGCCTGGAATTTCTGAACCACGTCTCTTTCTTTTCAGTAAATCTTATTTAAAACAATTCTATGATAATCATGCTTGGAAGGAATCACTTTCAGTTCAGGGTAGTTGCAAGATTCTGTCAGTTAATTCTCCACCACCTTAAAAATTTACCTCAAAAACAAGAAATTCAAGGTTAGCAGATATTGTTCACTTCTCATATCCAGCGAACTATATCAACCCTAGCCATAGGTCCAGTGCATAGATGGCAGAGCTTTTGTAGTATAAGGATCTAACGTATTTATGCAGGTTCTACAAGCTCAGAGGAATCCTGAGATTTCAAGGTGCCACTCTATAAACTTCTAGTTATGTCCAACTGATTTCTAATCCTGAGCAGATGTATGTGGTCGTATCTGTGAAGTGGATATAAATGAGTATATCTACAAAGAGACTGATTATCTGTAAAGGGCTACAGGAAAGAAATCTGTAAAAACAATAGAAACATACATATTTTGCTACTCTTATCATTACTGTTTAAGCCCAAACTTTGCCCTACACCACCATCACCACCACCATCACAACAATCCTATAACAAAATAACTCTGGTGCAAAAGGCTATTCTGTTTTTGATAATACCTATTTCAAATATTATGGGAAGTTCATAAAATCATACAATGCCTATACTAAAAGAGTTGTATTAGTTGCCATTTGTTTACTTGTCACAATTTAAGGCTCTTCTGTTGATCTGTAAAACCCCAAACTGCTTAAGGCCTGTTTCTTTCAGGATGAACCTGTCTAGTTACTTAAGTCACCAGGAGAAGCCTCTTTGAAGATTTTATCTTTTGAATTTTGAATATTGAAGTTTTATCTATCTGACATATGGAAAAAATCCTTCTCACTTCTCTTGCAAAATCTATTGACTGTACTCCCCAAAAATTCAGGAAAATGGTCAAAAGAAACATTTCACCAAACACTTAATTTTTAATTTAATTTATTTTAAGGATTTTATTTTTTATAGAACCCAATAATTCCATAAAATAAATTCTACCTGATATGAAGATATTGGGAAGATATTAGAATAATGTCATGCTTATGCCATTTTTCCAAGGCATTTGGTTGGCCAGTATGGGGAAAAAATGGTCTTTTGTCCTGTGTAGAACAATTTTTCAAGAATATTCCATCTGTGAATGTTAAT